TGGATATTGTATGTATATTGTATGTATATTGTATGTATATTGTATGTATATTGTATGTATATTGTATGTATGTCACAAAATGCTAGTCTTCCCGAGTCAAGATTAACTACAGAAAACACACTGTATTTCTGTCTTCTCTACCTCGCGTTTAAGCCAGGTCTCTTCAACGCGAGGTTCTACACTTAACTAACTATTTATTGAAACATAAGGTTACAGGTCAAATAGGGTGACCGGCGTGACGGGCACCCAACTAGGACATATATATATATTTACAAGGTTCATGAACGATAAAGTTTCCCTGATATAATACTCGGGAATATTTGTTACATGTATTATTAAGTTTTTAAAGACTAGCTTGAGCATCCAGCGTTGCCCAGGGTACTTATAGTTACTCCCGACGCTTACCCGCTCTTGGTCGTAATTTACGATTTTAGCTATTTTTCCTTATAAAATTGGACCCACTTAACTAGAATCTCATAATCAGACTGAATACATTAATCCCGTCTTCTCCCAAGTTCCCTAATCAAAATTTGAGACAAATCAGTCAAGATGTTCCCGAGTTATGACTGGACTTCCAAACTTAATCATATTATATGTAGATTCACGATTAAATATTACTAGGAAAGAAAACAATTTAAACTAACTTTTATGTAAGTTTGTTTGAACACCCTGCAGCTAGATCAATAGATAACAACACCATTTTGATTAGATTTAATATTTTAACAAGAAAAGAATGAATAGTTTAGAACAGGTCAAGAGAAAGAACACAAAGAAAAAGATTGTAGAATGAGAACTCAAACATAAACGATAAGATATATTATTTACTCGACATTTTAAACTTTAAAAATATTTTAACAGAACTAATTTTACGTCTATCTTACCACTAAAAAAAAGATTGAATTAAACAAGATTTTATACATTTTCGGAGTCTGTGGAAAACGGTTTGTTTTATTTTTTTTGCTCACTGCTTTACAATAATAGTTTAATTTTTTTCATAATTTATTAATATGAACTAGTTTAAACAATTTTAGACATGTAAAGTTGTATTGATTGACAGATTAATATCAAAGGTCATACTTTTTTGTTAAACAATCTTAACTGTAAATTTACAAGGCTTGATCCTGATATTCACTGTAACAACTTTGAAATTAATTGAGTCTGTGCCACAAACTTATTGTTCTAATTCCTACATTTTTGCAACCTAATTTAAAACTACTACATTTTTCGGATCAAATAAACTATAAGTTTGAAATATCTAAGGTTTTCACCATCCGGTTAAACAAGCATAGGGATTAAAGATTTGAGTTTGTGGCAAAGACTCAATTCCTTTGAGGGATGCATGCTTAACCCCTCAATTTTAGTAAAACCTGCAGAAAGGTATAGAAAAAAAACTAAATTAATTTTATCCGTAGGACTGCAGCACAAGATCAGGATAGTTTCTAGATCCTTGGATTAACAACACAACAGTTTTGACCTTAATTTAGAGCATATTCATCATTCTTGACCGAATTTATCTAGCAAATACGGAGAAGAAATTCTATTACAGCTAAACCTTACCAAAGGTACCTTAGAGCAATTTGACCAACAAAACATCCAGATTGGAGCCAGAGATGTTTTTCAGGAAAAATGTTTCAGGGAAACAGGGTTCAAATAAAACTAAAGAGTAGTTAAATAATGAATACCTTTTATATCCGTGAATTAACTTACAAAACTTCACAAAAGGTATTTAATTATTTATTTTATCCCCAGGAGCCAAATTTCATTAATAGCTGTAAAATTAAACATGTTTGTCAAAACTTTGTTCAAAAAAAAATTTTTAAAAACATCTCATTGTTATTTAAATCAATTTTGTGAGGCAGGAACTCATTAATATCAAAACATATTTACAATAATAATGATGTGTGACTGTAAACACAAAATAAGATAAATTTTGAGAAATCTAAAACTTCATGTAGTAAACTTGCTTCTTCTTTCTACCAGATCTAAACAAAAATAAACAGATATCTTCTACATATATACTTTGTTTGTCTGTCTGTTTATTTGCTTTTCTGTCTGTCCGTCTCTATCCAATAAATAGTCAAAACGGCTGAACCGATCGAGCCCAAATTTTGTTTGTAACCTCAAACATCCAAATTCGAAGAAAACAAATTCTAAAAATGAATTCGATTTTTTTAATGCTCTATTTCGTAAAAAATCCTTCAAATTTTTTAAATGATTTTTAATGGACGACTTTCTGAGCAGCATTAAAAGGCTATTTACAGGAAAGGTGGAGCGAAGCGTCCTAAAAGCCTTGGTTTTTATAAAGCTGATTGAATAGCATGTATTAACATATCTTTAAATTAAATTTTTTTAAATAAAATTTAAAAAGAGCAGTGATTTTTTTTTCATACGACCGTTGTATCTGACCAATACATCCGTTTTCTCTTGTATACAAGGGAAATTTACATTTTGACAAATATTTCTGATTCATACTATTCTTTAATTTGATCTTGGAGCCAGAAATATTAAATTAAGTATAATAGAAAGTTACTGTTTGTGAGGAGATATCAGACGTATTTGTAGTTTTCAGTAATGTCCGACTCAACAACTGTTGAAGGTTAGCTTGAAACACAATTTCCTCAATATTCTTACAGGTTGGGAAAATAAAAGTCACTAAGCGGGGTTTAAAAAATTCCGCCTTAATAATGACAAAATTGGATAAGAAGGTTAGGCTAGGAGTGGATATTTTTGACAAAAGAATTCTTAATTCTTGTAAGTTCATCTCAGACACAGTGCTTCAGAATACGGCCTCATCTACAGCAATCTTTTCCTTGCAGCCGGCAAAGTATATACCGCAGAAAAATGTGCAAGGTTTTTTTTGTAGAGTAATTACAATTGAAATTAATCGGTTTTCAAAATTATAAACAATAATATAAAATACTTGCTCAGACAATGCTTTCAAGGGTACAATTGTGAATCGAGCATTGCCAATTTGCCATTCATAAATGGAGGGTCACTTAGAATTACATGTTGCACTCCGACATAATTGCATCAGGTCATTCATAATGAGATTTGCCTCTTTGAATTTTGCTATTAGTTTTTTTAAACCCTTTCTTCTTCTGGATAGGGGGGGGGGGGGTTATAAGATAAGAACATGTTAAACCTCCTTTTTCTATTAGATTATATAGATACCATAAGAAAAGTCTAAGATCGTAAAAACAAACCGTGAAACAGATTATAATAAAGAAATTTCTGCATTTGTTGACAAGGGTCTTTTGATTTAATGGACGATAGTTCTAAAGATTTTCGCTTTGTTCTTTTTCTAAATTTTTACTGTTCTTTGGGCCGTAAACTATGGTTGAAGTCGATTAGAGGGGCTGTTTCTGTCGCACAAATCCGCATGTAACTTTTGTGGAAAACCCACAAATGAAAATGATCAATTTTCAGAGTTAAAAACAAATATATATCATTGTGTCTTAATCACGCAAAGGTTTAAGGGTACTGTTATATATAAGAAATGCCACTTTATAAATGGATTGTCGTTTAAAATTAAGTCATTCTTTTACTAGGATTTAAATTAAGTCTACGGTTCCTTTCCGAGGATTAAAATTAAGTCTACAGTTCCTTTACGAGCGCAGGATTAGAATTAAGTCTACAGTTCCTTTACGAGGATTAAAATTAAGTCTACAGTTTCTTTACGAGGATTAAGATTAAGACTACAGTTCATTTACGAGCGCAGGATTAAAATTAAGTCTACAGTTCCTTTACGAAGATTAAAATTAAGTCTACAGTTCCTTTACGAGGATTAAAATTAAGTCTACAGTTCCTTTACGAGGATTAAAATTAAGTCTACAGTACCTTTACGAGGATGAAAATTAAGTCTACAGTTCCTTTACGAGCGCAGGATTAAAATTAAGTCTACAGTTCCTTTACGAGGATTAAAATTAAGTCTACAGTTCCTTTACGAGGATTAAAATTAAGTCTACAGTTCCTTTACGAGGATTAAAATGCCAACCTGGATCTGACAGAGCTTGTTTCATCTGCTCCGAAGTCATCTTGTCCAACTGTATCCTGAAATATTTACACTTACATTTTGCAAACTTGTAAAGTAGTTGAGTCTTTGTCACAAACTCGAATTTTCTAATAATTTTATCTTTGCAACCTGATGGTGTAAACCTTAGATATTTCAAACTATGAATTTAGTTCGATTAAATAATCTAAGTTTGGTTTCCACCAAAGACTCAATTCCTTTGTAAATTTGAAATGAGCAAATTTGCGAATTTGCACAAATATTTTATATTATTGAACATATTGTTATTCTAAAAAAATACTAGTCATAGAAATTGACACTAATATTCACTG